TCGCCAACTGGGGTGAAATTTTTTGAAATTAACAGCAATGAAACACAATACTGCATGATCAGAATATGCCAGTGACTAATACTGGGAGGCCACGGAGTCCCGGGAGAAAAGGGGCGCTATTATTTCGTGCGGATATTTCTCTGCTACTACCCAAGGGATACCGTACCCGAGTTATTGAAGGATGGACTCCCCTGCCGCAAGATTCGGGGGAAAATCTTAAAGGCATCGGGATACCTAAAACAAAAAAGAATTTACAGAGGGATCCCAGTTCCAAGCACCAGACGGTCGGTACCGCCATTTATGGATATTCAAGGATGTATCTCGTTGAAGCATTAATACCGGCCACCACGAGGCGCTGGACCAGCTACCGAAAAACCATTCGAAAGGGCTACGGTATTTAGACTGTGAGCGAAGATTACTGGAATAAAGCGAGACCCGGCAAGAAAGGTGGCTGTGAGTCGCTCTATTAATTGATCGATTGTCAAAGACACCACAAATCAACTTACCCCCTGAAAATAGAAAATAAATACCGTCGGAGGAACACAAAAAAAAAGTGGGTCTGGGAAAGCCGAACCAGAAAACACACCCGAAAGATCGCACAACGGTACCAAGTCACGGATCTCCAATAGAAAAAGACACCCAGCAGCTCTTTCGGCGTTACCTAGATATCGTAGAAATCCGGGACTGATAGTACAGAACCCCTACAACTTTCGAGCCCCCCCGCTGGGATACCGGTACATCAGCCAGATGAGCCTTCAGGGCAAGCAATAAACCATTTTGGATGCTATGATTCCTGGGGGTGGTTCCAAGAGAAGAACACAGCACTGAAGAAACCCCCTAGATGCCGGTTTATCCGCGCAAAAACTGGACGTCTGATCTAAGCACAGACGATGCACTCGAAGATCCACCCCCTATAATCGCAGTGCCCGAGACGGATGCACCCCCATCGAATATGGTATCCCCCACCAATCCCCAGCAGCGCCCAAGGGACACAAAATGCAAGGGAAGAGAAACTACTGATATCAGTAGATGGCTATAGGATAGGTTCGAGGTGAGATCAAATTTTCCAACAGGGGTCTAACCCTTGAAGTCGTTCCCAATTACGGGCCGGCTCGCGGCCAGTATTGCGCACACCTCTCGCAGATTGCCCTCATTCACGGAAAGAAGATGAAACCCGGCTCGACATTATCGGATACTCCATCCAGTATGAACCCCTTTCCGGCCGGGGGGAAGGTTTCTACTCGTACTTGTACTCGTACACGCAGTTCATTGTCTCTACCAATAAATTAGGCGCCGATACCAGTCTTCCGTTGCCTTCGTTTGCCAACCTATCCTATCAACGCGTCAACCATCCCTCTATACTTATTAAACCCGATTTAAGTTAGTTGCTTCAATCCACCAGTATGATACTATCATGCATGCTATAGTTTCTCCAACAGGGCCCTATATCTCTTCCCTTATCCCCAAGGAGAGCGAAGCAAACTTTAAGTTTGCTACCCTCATCTGCTGCGCCCCCATCCCAATGCATAAATGTATTTATGTCCATGTAGAAGCAATGATCGAGTGATATCCATGATCCGATCGCATAACTGAATCATCGCAGATCAGGTGATCTAACCCCTGTCGGTGTAACGTCTGGGGACAAGAAATAATACTCGGTTCTGAGCATGTTTCGTGGGCATGATGGTCGATAATGCAAGCTCATATACAAGCCTCCAATTCCCTTGCATCGGTACAGCTTCTGCATTGAGACAAGCCTTTACCCGAGTAGCGAGACTCAAGCCTTCAAGAGCCTCCGGGTTGACTTATTTGTGCGCTCACGGATTGCCAGAGCCGGAGTGTTTTGGCGATTGGGGTCAGATCGGCCCACGTACTGTACAAGCACGCCGGACCGCAATCCATTGAGCCCAGTGGTGTTCAAGATTTTCGCTTTCGACGATAAGGAATGCCACGAAACAACAGTTTCGGGGTGAGCAATGGCGAGCGACTGTAGCACGGAGTGAAGAACAAAAGTAGAAGAAAAAACCACCTCCCCTTGATTCAGCAGCAGGATGAAAATGAATACCCTCTTCAGGATACGCCCACCAACCCCAATATCCCCCCTTCATCTTTTGCTGTCCTCAATTCTTCCCGTTCGGAAGGTCTCCCGCAATTCCAGCGTCAACATTTTCCCCCATCCATACCTCACCATGCCGAGCACAGACCACACTCCACGGACGATCACTCGGCGCCATCTCAAGCCACGGGCTGGCGCAAAGTCCAGCCCCCTTTCCCAATCAAAATTTCGGGAATCTCCACCCTTGCAAGCCATAGAATGGAGCGGCGAGGCTACAATTCCCCACGGACTTAGGAAAAGTCGGCACGAAATGACACTCCCCATAAAATCTGTTCCGTGAATCGGACCACCGTATCATACTATAACTTGCCCTATCAGTGCACGGCGCACGCGATAATTTCTCAACAAGGCTCGGAATCCTACCTCCTCCTCCTCCACCCTCTTGCGGCCCCTTTCTCCACCTTTAGCTTTCGGATACGTACTAGCACCATGCCACCATGAACAAATTACCGCACGTTGGAATCGTCACCCAGGCACAGGTTGATAAAGGTACTGTAAGTTACGGTAATCCTGAGGTCCCGAAAAATTACCATCTCAAGATCTTGACGCACGAACGCACGCGCGCAACGCGACGCGCCGAGATAACAACATTTCGGGCAGATCCGAGAGAAGGGGAGGGGATAAAAACGTTGTCCTTCCACACCGCAGTACTCGTCAGTGGGGCACTCAACTCCCGAATCGTACGGTCTTTTCTCGAATTTGATAACCTGCTCACAGCACATATATTATGTACTCGTACATACGTATACTGTGCGTGCAATACATATGGGGCGAAGAAGAAAAAAAAAATGAAAAAAAGGCATAGAACCTTACCCTGCCCTATCTCTGTTCACCGCATGCGAGTTCCAAGGTTGTAAGTTACTGTACGCAGTATGGCGCGATATCAGCGGTCCTGTATGAAATATTACACCCGCGGAGGACAAGAAAAGGGAAAGAAGAAAAAAAGAACGTATCCCGTCTCGTGATCCACCGTTTCGAGGTCTTTCTGTCCGCAGGAACCGCTACCAGCACCGTATGTGCAGATTTCCTTGCCTTGCTCTGATGAAGGGGGTGGTCTTCGAGTGAGATTCTGTGGTTCGGGAGCAGCCGTTGGGTTGATGTTTTGGTGAAGTTTGGGCGGGGTGGGAGGGAAAAGGTTAACGTGGGAGCTCGAGTCGCGAGAATGAGGGTGGTTGAGATCACCTAGTCGAGTACGGTGGACCTACCGTGCCGCATAATCCAATCCATTCGTTCGTACGATAGTCTACGAGTACTAAGACCTGTGAGTACGGGTATTCTACGGTGCCCAAGCTAGCTTAACGACGATAGTTAGACTATCGTACAGTCCTATCATAAATATCAAATAATACGAGCACAGGTCTTCCCCCTTCCCCCTCACCAGTGTACTAGTACAGTGCCACCACCTATCTGTCCACCCATCACGAGAAATCCCATCTCTGGGTACGAGTACGATAACCTAAAATAACCTCCATCCCCCGCTGCAATTCACCGACCCGAAAACCCCACCCACCCCAAGCCTCGGCCAATCCCCCACCGCCCCGCCGGCCTCCCACCCTGAGCGGTGCTGCCCTGCGCGGTGCGGAAGAAAAAAAAGTGACGAGAGGAAAAAACGTGACAGGGTTATCATAATTTGTATGGCTAGCTGAGGATGGAGGAGCTCCTCCGAAGTCTTACTTCTTCCGCTTGCGGAGAATTTTTCCGAGCGATGGAACGGAGGAGTGCCTTGGCGGGTTTACAGTGGGTACGTTACAGGAGTCTAGGTTGAAAAGGCAAAAATGGGCTTTTCACACTTAACCAGTTTTTTTTTTACTCGTCCTGGAGGGCCGGGTTGTAGCGGTACGGTATGATGGTATGACACGATATGGAAGGTGTTTGTTGAGATAGGAGAAAATACTGAATGGATAGTCAAAAGAATGTACACGTCAATTTGTGAGAGGGGTGCCTCTGTCTGAATCGCGGTGATGGCTATTGTACTAGGACAAGGCAAATACCGGCCATAGAATACTGTGGATCACGTCGAACTGTGCCGGTGCAATAACAATAATAGGTTAGATGCCATTTCGTGATCAAACCGCGCCGGTGTCACTCGTAATCAATATCTCGATCATACAATATGAACGAGCCATCCGGCCGTTCGTTTTTTATTCGCTCCTGCTTGCATCATTTAATCTAGCCTTAGATTATCCCGTGTTCTTCCATTCTTCTCTTGGTTGATCAAATGTTGTTAAAAAAAGGCGCTAGAACTCCATCTGCCAGGAGCAGAGCATAGAGAAACCTCAAGGAGCAGCACTTATTAGCTCCTCCACTAGCGGCTGGCTGACACAGTGGGGAATGAAATATCATTGAGAAGACAGCCCGCCACCCCCGCAAAAGGATAGAGCAGAACCCTCTATCGAAACGGCTTTGAGCGGAAAATGTAGAACCCCACCACATTCAACTCTCTAGTATCACTTGGCCGTTCAACCCGCGAGGAGGGAAGAACCCCCCGTCAGAAGTTCATCACGTCAAACTACTGATCAATGCGCCACCAGTACAAGTACCAGGCAAGATGCATTCGTACAAGACACGGACAGCCAACAAGCAAAACTATCCCTCTCTTTTTTACGAAAACATCTTGCCTGGCACTTGTACCGCGCCCCTCAGGCTCGTTGCCAACGCCGCGAGACTTCCGCTTATGATGGACGACCTTAGATCCTTCTCCAGAGTATGCAGAGATGTCATACCCCCTTCTCTGGGAGAACCTATGTCGCCGCCGCTGTTCGATCCAGACCTGTTTCTGCCCATTAGGGTTAGGTACCGCCGCCGAGGAGGATCAACTACCGTAATAGGGCCGAGGATTGTGGTACCGGTAGCAATGACAGGCCTGTGGTGACCAATTGAATTAATGGCACTTCCCGGGCGGGCGGTGCTGGAAAGTGTGATTAACCCCCCAAAACGGGCATTGAACCCTGAGCACCTGACCAGCGGGTGCTCATTACCATCGGGTCTATGGATCAGCGCCCTAGGAGCACTATCGCTTGATATGGACCTCTCAGTCTTGTGCCGAGAAGCGAGAGAGCCGTTCCCCCCAGGAACCGGGAAAGCGTCGTCGAGGTGCAGCAAAGATTCGGCCGACAATCGTATGTTCGCCCGTTTGTCCCTGACGCTCTGAGAAGGCCGAGGCGACTTGTGGCAAATAGTTTGGCATGACGTCGAGCGAGTTCTACATAAACGTAAGCGCAAGCCCGGTTGCCAAGGTGTTCGAAGAAATCGACAAATCGGGAAGTGTTTCGCAACCCATGTGGGCTATCGTTCGAGGAAGCTGGGCCCAGACTACGTTCCTAGATGCGTGAAACGGAGTGTCGGTACTGAAGCGCTGAAGCGCATTGGTGCAAACAAATAAAGAGGTACAAACGCTGCACGTGTACAAAACGCAATGTCCACAAAACACTTGACTTCGAAGAATCGACCCATTCCGACAATAGGTTCCCGCGGTAGGGATGTCGGTATCAGAGGTCACAAGAGTCAAGTTGGGTTCCATTGATTCCCTTCCACCAGGTCCCAATATTCAGCTCCAACTGAGCCAGGGCATTTCCCTATCCAATTTGGGACTCGGAGATGCCCTGCGGACTTGTTCTCGGCCACGGCCACACTCCATGCCTACGACAGTCCAGTCAGCGCCAAGATCTATAAAAAGCACGGCTCCAACGGATGCAGGGACCAGCCGTTTTATGTCCCTAGCCATAACAATATTTCATAAATCCTCCGTCGCGTACTATTGGCGATGCTATCACCCGCATAGGCATCAGTCCCACGGACCCACCAGCTCGGAATAGCCCAGCTGCAACCCTCAATGTGTCGTGGCCACTCCATCTCAATGCGCGCTCTTCTGTGGCCCGGAGTGGCACCTCCAGAGGTAATAAAGCCTTCTCAAGGTCCAGGGCCGATATCACTGATATCCCTACAGTAACGAGCGATCGGTTCGGTATCGTCGATGGTGGCTACGACGGTACCGGTACTGCAACACAGTTAATCAGTGGCCCATTGTTCTGTTTGTCGTAGAAACCTCCAAAGGTTGTGAAGGGTTTACACATGAATAACGTATCTTATCCTAGCCCTTACCAAATGGAAGGCCAGGGCCGACACCGAGCGGAGGACTGAGTCGAAATGGGAGAAATGAGCGCAAAGGTTTCACTTTCCAGCAGACAGCTCGTTTCTCGCCCACGGGGCGAAGCCCCAGTATTGACGCAGGTAGCAAGCGGTCCTCGCAAGCAACACCCACAGAGACAGCCTTATGCTGGAAAGTTCTGAGCAATGGTTAGGTTGTGAAACATAGGGTAAACTTATGAAAGCCACACCTTCAATGCCAACAATGTCAATAGCCACACACCCCACTTGAATACCACCGAGACGTGTTCTGTGTATATGAATATTTAGTCTCCCGTCAACACAAGCTCCACAAACACATAGTGGAGGCGTGACGACGATGCCCATAGTAATTTTTTGATTGAGGACGACGGGGTTCTCCAACAACTTGTGAGGAGGGCATGGGATGAACAAATGTCTTGGCTAGGCGGCCGAACTCGTTAGATGTGCCAAGACCACGATTGGGCTGTCTTTGTTTCACTGGGTCGGGTGTTGTGTCACGGTGAGAGCTGCGACGCGACTTGAACGGCCGGCTCCGGTCCGAGCTATTCCCTGTGTGGAGGGGCGGAAATTCAAGTTGGGTGCAGGAGAGTGACCCAGCGTATTTTGTGGTGTTTCGGAGTGCGAGCTGACCCTCTCGGAAGTTTCTCTGATACTGTACCGTATTTTCCAGGGGCAAGCCCCACGATCAAAAGAGTCGTCGAGATTAGGGGCGCCGATCAGGTAATCGAAATCTGTAGACATTGCGTGTCCGAATGACGCCCTATGACCGATAGGGGATGGTTGGTAGTGAAATGATGCACTTTCTTTAAAATCGAGTGAGATAACGAGATATCGACACATGTATCCAATTAATCAGGAACAGCTACGGTGCTCATCGGAACGAATTGACCTGTAGTATAAGAGACTCCTTTGATCACGCCGATTAGAGTCCGGTTGTGATTAGGGGGGTAAGAAGGTGGGAATCACGAGGGCGGTAAGGTAGAGAGGTGGTAGGATGGCTATGGAAAAAAGAAAAAAAAAGAAAAAAGAGAGACCCGGCAAAGGTATCTGAAGTAAACTCGCTGTCGCGGGATCTTCGGCGGGAGTCTGCAGAGAGCTCGCCTGCGTCCGTGGTCTTTCTCCCGTGTCGTTGTAGCCGGGCCCACACCGGTAAGTGCCAGCTCCGCCTCCACTACCGAGCAATCCTGCAACTCCTGTTGTCGTGCGTCTTCGGCTTTGGATACCACCGCTACGGTTGGTTGTGGTGCTCCAATGGATTTAGGGATAGAGGAGGTGTGATTGAGTGAATGAAATTAGACGAACCTGGAGATTGAATCATTCCCTCCTACAGCCCTGTTTTTATTCACCAACAGCCAGATGGCATCAGCAGGAATATTTAGCAGCAGGGGACAACGAGGCGAAATTGTTGCACGCCCTTATGACCGGAAGTCGCCACGGACTGAGTATGGCTAGGATGACCAAGTTCCGAAGGTAGCAGTGGTGTAGGCTGTGGAACAAATGGCCGACGCTGGGTTCAGTTGTCAGTGATGGGCGATAAAGAGGTAAAGTCGGAAATGAAGGGCGTGGGATGCATGTGTATCAAGTTTGTGCAAGAACAGAGATTGTCTACCTCCCTCTGGCGAAGTTGGAATTTTCTACACAGGGACGAGGCAACAGGGAAAAGGAGTGGGGATCCGTGGGGGGTTTCTATGCTTGAGGGCTCGAAGGAAAGGCTGTAGAGGTATCGAAGTGGGGGGACAGTATTGGACGAGAGGGAGAGACACGTGGGGGAAGGGCAAAGGGTGAGAAGCTCGGACACAGGGAGCCCTATCATACAGCACTCGTACAGTGTAGCAGCAGGCCCGGGGGGAAGGGAGGCAGGAGGGTAAGAAGAGCTACGGTACCATAGAGTCCCGTTACGGCATCATACCGGTCCTCGTACAGGGTCAGCGTACGGTAGACGGAGAAATTTCTTCCTTTCTTTTTTTGTTCAGCGGTTACAGCCCACATTGGAATTAAGCGCGGGCTCAGCTAGAAGCAAAATTTCGCAATCATCTTCGAGGGAAGGATGGTGGAATCGAGTACAGTACCGGTACCGCAGGGTAGGTACGAGTACTCGAGCGTAGCATCATCATCATCATCGTCATCATCGTCAACAGGGCCAGGAGCTGGAGGAGCCAGCGCAGGAGTTGGAGGAGGAAGGAGGGTTGGAGGAGGAAGAGGAGTTGGGGGAGGAGGAGGAGGAGTTGGAGGAGGAGAGGTAGGGCACAGTCTGATAGCGTTCCTGTTATGCTGGTATTCGGGCGGGGGTGAATGTTTGTTTAACTACATACCATACAATACCGTACTCGTGGACTGCCGGTATCACGATTGGGGTGTTTAGGTTGCACGAACAGGTTCAGCATGGCACCTACGGTATTGCACCCAGCGTTCCGCGGGCACCCGATTCGGGTACCGTAGATGAATTTGAGGGATTGCATCACACGGCCCAAACCTCAAGGTGGGGAAAAATCTGAGACAAGGGGACCAACAATTCCAGTACAGAACAGAACTCTACCGGTCCCGTATCCCAAACCACAACAACCGGGCAACGCGATGATAGACGCGGGGCTGATAAAATAAAATTCAATCGAACCCAACTTACTCGATTTGGCTGCAATTCTATTGCCAAGGCACCTTGTCGTCGTCGAATTGAAGATCGAACGAGTTGCAGTGGAGCAACGGAGGCTCTGTGCAAGGTTCGACTGGACCAGGAGGAGCTCAGTCCAGGGACCCGGGACCTTAAAGTTGAGTGGCAGACTGGGGTAGAGAGTGAAGTTGCAGGGATAACAGCTAAAAGCTATCTGCGCGGAGCAAAAAAGGCTTTGCGCAGGAGCGGTGGGGAAGAAGAAAAAAATAAAATAAAAATACTCGTGCACTCTCTTCCACACACCCATTGTGTCACCTCTCCACACTCGGTCACTCAGAATCCAACCCGTTTTCCTGTATTTTTTTGGCTGGGCATCGGAGGAGGCCGCCTCTCTCGCGACGCCCGGTGGGGACAAGGTATGGCGGCTGCTACCTGCAAGTGGGGAGTGGGAGGGAAAGGATGAATGAAGGAGGGAAGGGAAAAAAAAGGAGGAAGAGGGCTAAAACCGATTCAAAGAATCCTGGGAGAGAGAGGCCTTGGGAGCGAGCTGTGGCCGGATATGTTTTCCGTATTCTGTTGGCTCGCGTCTTCCATCAATGGGTCGGCGACAAGACGTCTTCTGGTTGGGTGTGCTGTGCGACCTTTCCATGGAGTGGTGAAGCAGAGAGAGATTGATATATTTTTGATTGAGCCAAAGATCTATTGGGGTGCTTATTTCCTGCTGGTGCCGGTACTCGCGTACCGGTATTGGGAAGCGCGGTATCAATATAATGTTGGTGGGCGTGAGGATGCCATATCTTCTGCGGAGCTAGAGTGTGCTTTTCTACCTTACGCCGAGGTAGCAATAACTGCGGCGGTGATGATGGTGACGATGGTGACGATGATGATGGTGATAGAGTGTACCGGTACTCGAGCAACTGTTATACGTACCACGGGCATCATAGTTTTATGGTTGCTGGCCTCTGGATCACGGCGGTGGATGGCAGTACCATTCTTTTGATCTTCGACTCCTTGGTCATTCTGTGGCTCCAATGCACATGATCCTTCCAAGAATTTGGTCTGATTCAGGTGCCGGTCCTTGCTTGTATTGAGGCATCTTTACCTGCCTTGCATGCCCCTCCCCCCGGGTGACTGTAGTTGCAACTCGTGCCGTACAAAAACTGTCCTAGTTCCTGTATGCTTTTTACCCGCTCCCACACCGCTGTTCCCCAGACTATGTACGAACAGAGCATGTTCCGTACCAGTACCGTACCAGTACTTTAGCAGCACACTGAAGGCACTGAGCACCGCTTTCCTTCCAGGATATCTACGGAGAAGGTCAAGTTAGAGTCAACTCAAAACATAATTCAAAGGACCTTTGACGGGAGTCAGATCTAGAGAGAGGTTTTTCTTTAAAAAAAGAGTCCCCATTGCTTTTTTTTTCCCCTTCTGTTTTCTGTTCCCATTCCTCTCCCTTTTCTCATCACCGTATCTCCTCCTGCTTTACTTTTTTAACTCTACGGCGGTCCTGCGTTTTCTTGCTGCGTACCGTACCACTACCGCAAAAGAGGGAGGAGGATTGAGAGGAGGAAAAAAAAAAAAGAGGAGAAAGGAAAAAGAGGCCAGGAAGAGGAAAAGAAAGGAAAAGGGAAAAAAAAAAAGAGAAAAGAGAAAAAAGAAAAAGAAAACGCCCAACCCACGTTGCCCTTACAAAGGCTGAGCGACACTCACTACGAAAAAGAGAAAAGCCTTTCCCCACTTTTTTCACTCCTGATTTCTTCATCAATTGTTCGTATCCTCCTCCCGTGTTCTCCCCGTTCCATGGATTTATGATCACATCATTCCTGAAAGATTTTCAGAGGAAAAAAAAAATCTCTTCAGCACCTCTCGTCATCATCATTTATACATCTTCCCGCTACCCCCCCTCGTCAATCCATCTCATGGCCGCCGCCGTAAAAGCATCCCCTCCCCATTCCTCTGCATCATCCGCGTCTTCAGCGTCTTCGCCAGAACCGACGACGATGGCTCAGCAGGCTCAGTTTCCCACTCCCAGGCGGAAGGGTGGTAGAAAGCCGGTCTACGCAACCCAAGAAGAAAGGAAGATGAGAAACAGAGCTGCTCAGGCTGGTATGTCGATATTTTATAGATCCTTTCCCCCCCCTTGACACGCCAACTATCCACTCCACACCATGGCGTTACTAGAATTCCTATGTGTCATGGAAAATATAACCTATCTTTTCGCAATCTTTTGACACATCGAATTAGCTTTCCGCGAGAGACGAACCGAATATATTAAGCATTTGGAGGCAACCATCAAACACCAAGAAGAAAGCTTGTCTAGTCTGCAGCAATCATCAAGGAATGCCGCGGATGAGGTGCTCATGCTTCGTTACAAGAATTCGCTTTTGGAGAGGATACTGTTGGAGAAGGGGATAAATGTTGCTGCCGAGTTGAAAGCCTTTGCCCAGTATGACGACAGGCCACAACCCGCCGCACCCCAGCCGATCCCTCGACCCATGCCCTCCCAGGGCCAACAGCAACAAGCGACCCTTCAACAACAGCAGCATATGCATAGGCCAATGATGGCACAGTCCCAACAACAGCAGAAACGACCATCCATCAACCCTTCGCCCGAGTCGCTCTTTATCAAGACTAGTCCTATAGTACCACCGAGCTCGCGAAACAATTCGCCGTCAATTGCCATTCCTACGCCCCCTGATGCATCTGCGTACCAGATCCCACAGAGTGTGGTGACGACACCTACTGCTCCTTCAGAATTTCAACCTGCAGGGATTCCGATGCAGAATTTCTATCCCTCGCCTTACCAGGCACATATGGAAGAGCTCGGCAAGCTACCCCGCGTACTTCCCATATATCTTTTGTTATGAAAGAGCCCGGCCATCCTAGATTGACTCTGTTTGAATTTAGAGCAGGAATATGACGCCGAACTACTCGAGAGTACAGAAGACGACACTCAAAGCGGACTCGAAAATCAATCTGCAACAGCAGACGGGGTTGGCGGTGAAATGATGGGGGGGATGCTGCGGGGGTCTCCATTACAGCAGCATGGGATTTACAATAATAATAATGTTAGATTGATCGATCCCTCATTCGAATCGATGTTTAATATGGAGACGACTCCTCCGATTAGCGTGGGTGGTCTAACGGATGCTTTCATGAAACAGTTTAACTCCCCCTTCGGTTTTGCTACAAGTAATTTAAGATGACGTTGCTCGATCTTTAGAAGTTGGACGGACTATCAGGCAAGCTACCCCGATCACTGTAAGAAGGGGACTCGGTCGTCCTATTGATTTTGAGTTATTAGAACCGGGGTTTCCTTCGATTGTGCTACATATTTTATCGGCGTCACCGTTTTGGTTTTTCTTTCTACGGTTTATCGGGAAAAAAAAGAGGCGATCCTTCGGCCCTGGGCTACACCCCCCCCTCCCAGTGTGTCGGCATCTATATTGTTTTGCTTCCACGATACCACCTTTTGCTTCTTCAAGTACAAATTAGCATCTTACGAATTTTTACTGCTCCCGGTCGCCTTGCCTGATCCCGGTATCCCCGACAAACCTGTACACTATTAATTCCTTGTCCCCGATCGAAGTAAATATTCTCCGTTTGGCGACCGGGCCCAGGCAGTTTTCATATTTTTTATTTTTGCCTTTCCTTTCACACATCTCGAGGTGGATCCATCCTCTTTGTTGGGTCGGAAAAGGGTGCATCTGGCGTGGACTCTGTTGTGCGTGGGTTGAAAGACCCTTTGAAGAGGGCAAAGAGTGGGTGGTGGGATGGCGTATTTGGTTTCTTCTTCCTCTTGCTTCTATTTCTTCCCTTTCTACTTGTTTTTGTCTGTGGGCGGCGATATCAGGGAGAATATTCAAAAATCTTTGTTTTTGCCTTTCTATATTATGTTTTTGAGATGTTTCCTTATACCCCTCTACTTTGCTTATTGTATCGACTTTAAAAGTTTATTTGTTTTTTGGCACTCGCACTTGTATTTGTTGGAAAATGGAGGCTTTGGTGTTTGCCGAGGATGATGGGGGGAGGGAAAGGAAAGGAAGGAAGGGGTCCGATTTAGTTTGTGCCAATTATGAAACAAGCTATCCTCCTGAGTTTTTCGGTATGATATATTTGGCCCGGTTCAACCTTTTGTACTATTCGTAAAGTGTTGGTTTTTTCCTTGCCGCTCCCCCCTCTTATTCGTTCACTGACCGCCCCCACAGGGTGATAACCCATGGCCTTTCTTTCTCGTTCTCCCTCGCGTTGATTCTGTGATATTTCGCGGGGGATATGGGACGACATCGTGGATTTGTATTTAAAACCCTTGCCCCGTGTTTTCCCGGAGCGGGCGCCCATCTTGTCTTGTGAAGATTATCCACTTGGATTAGTAAATCCGATCATCATGGTTTCTCACTCGTGACATGAGGTTGAGGGCTTGCATTGTTCACGGGTTCTGGATCCCCCCGGGGCGAAGTCTGTATGGGATGAGATCTGGGGTAGGGGCTAATGGGTAGGTTAGGGCGGAGTGGGGTTCGGGGTGGTACTTATGCTTGCTAGGATAATACAGTGATATTGGTAGAGTTAGGTGGGAACCCTAACCCTAGGATTGGGGGTTGTACTATGGTTGTAGGGAAAGGGGGGGGGGGGTGATATTTGCTCCCCCTTGTTGGTTGGTATATTATCTGGCTCCTATGATATCGGTGTTGTGTGCGAATTGGTTCTCTTCCTTTGGGCTCGGAGGGGTGGGGGAGGGGGGGGGGGGGCGGTTTACCGGAAAAGGGGGTAGAGGATACTCTAGCGAGCGAAAACACCTTTCTTGCGCAAATTAGCTATGAATTTTCGAGGTACAAGTATAAGGCGGTTGGAGTGGCGGTGGAGTCCTCCGACTAGCTGGTCTCAGGATATAAGAGGAACTAGTGGATCAATATGGGGAGCATGGGAGGCAACACCGAGTCCTGACGTGGAGTTCGATTCTTCTAATTATTCTCACATCCTATCAGGGGCCTACTTACTACGTTGGCTTGGGCTTATCTAGGGCAACGGGAGTGACTAAGTTTCTATGATCCTTCGGAGCGGGGCACAAGGTGCAAAGTTCTCCTGTCATTATATATATCGCCCAGCACGTGCCGTGCCTCGCACGGGCTGATATGTCATAGCCAGCGGGCCTTCCACTCCCGCTAAATGGGACAGACTAGTCTAGCTACGGAGCAGCCTACTGTTCCCCGATTTCTTGGGGCGATTACACGAGCTGGCCGGGCCATCCCTTTAATTCTAAATTCACCGAAAATCACTCACGCCCTACTGGGCCGCTAGCTCACCGGAGTGCGCAGGTGTCTTCAGGCAGCATCAATGTGAGTACTGCCCTCGGATGCCCCGGGGTGCTCGCACCGGATGTCCTAATTCTTATGATCACAGATTCACATTTTATTTGCACAAGAGTACAGGAAAGACGGAGGTATCAAAAGTGTATTCATCTAGACCGAAACAAATCTCCAAGGGGGAGAAGAGAAGAGGGAAAGAAGAAAAGAGAGAAATTCCTCCTCTTCCCCTCTCCACCCTCTCAGCTCCCCCACCCGCGCCCTCCTAATCAATATCGGCGTAAAACTGCATCCGGAACACATCAGTACTTGGCTAGACAACCGGCACTAAACCTCAACTTGATCCCCGAGCGGAGGAAGAGGAAGTGGATCCATGGTAATCACCCCAGCCCTCTTCATCAACACCTCCCCTTCACACGGATCTGGCTCTGGGATCGCGACTGGGAATGCATTGGCGATGGCGGCGAAGATGGCGAATGCTGGGAACATAGAGGAGAAGAGGTTATGGGAGACCATTTTTTTTATTCGCTGTATGCGCGGAGGCCCGAGGCCGGCTCTGGGTTTTTGTGTGTATGAGTGAATGAATGAATGTGCTGGTTGGCAGTGGCAGTGGGTGGTGGGTGGTGGTAATGGGGGAAGGGGGAGGTAGGTGGATGTTTGGGTGGGGTTTAAGTACTGCCTTACTGAGGATGTAATGTGTTGGGATTTGTGATATTGCAGCGGTGATGTTGTGGAAAGAGTGGCGGTTGAGGTGGATAGATGGCTTATATTGTAGTAGGAGAGGGTTGCGCTTCGTGTTCGGGCTGTTGGATTGACCGCCGGTGTGTGCTCGGTGGGATTGAGGATCGGTGAACCAGAGGCACATACTCGCTCACTCGTCGCTCGCTCATGCTGCCGTTCACCTGGAGCTACCTTCCTATCTATGGCTCCGTCGTGGCTAAGTCACTAGATATTTTCAAAGGTACAAGATACCGGTGTGATATCCGGAAATCTGGGCCTAGATTGGCAATTTGTTGACCCATCAATTCGAGGGGTGGTATTGGGGGGACGATCGGGAAACGATCCTGGGAAATAATAATAGTGTAAATGCCTGAGGAATGATAGAAGTTTTGACGTTTTTTTCACTCGCTCTCTGTTCGAGATGAGTACACACTACAGGAAGTATTGTCCCTGTCTGTGTTGCCAAGCCTTTCGCAAGATTCTAGGACATCACAGAGTACGGTACTTTGATCAGGTACGGTAATTCAGTTTGGGGAATTTGGGCTACAAATGTAAGCTAACCTCAACAACTTCCAACCTTCAAATCTAAGGTCCATAATCTTTCCGCACTCTGAACTTGAGCATTTATTACTAACTACAGGTAGAGTAAGGGTAGATGAATTCTCTTAGGACTCTTCTTAAGACTAACCAGTTCACTTACCGAATAGAACTAGTGTTCCAATATTGTGCTGTGGCTTCGAGCTGGATATTTCTCCATGGGGGCTCACCGGCTCAGCGGTGGCAGGTAGTGTGTCCTCAACCCTACTGAAAGAAAGACTACTAATGTCTCTGAACGCACATGAGCGCGTCTGGCCGATTACCCAGCCTTTCTGTGCTGGGAATAGCTTTGTCGATACCGGAGTAGTGCCAGTGAATTTTGGGGGAAGGCTTCCTCTCTCTTTCAGACTAGGCAAAGATATAAGAGTTCCGGTGGCGGCGCAAGATCCCACTCTCTCCCTCCTCTTGCTCCTTTTTCCTATAGTATCTAGTCTCCTTCTGTCATTGGAGAAACTCTATTCGCGCAAGGGCCAGGTGTTCTTTTTTGCTTTCCTCTACGTTCCCTTGTTCATGGTCGAACTCGCTTTGACTTTTTATTATTATTGATTTAATGAGTGTTTTTATTTATTTTATTTTTTTGAAACTCGAAGGACTTTTTCGTTGTTTCCTCATGTGGAGTCGATACAAGTACATTTCGGCGGGAGCGGTCCTGCTACTAGCTGCAGTAGCAAATGGGCTTCCCGTGGCCGATGGTTCGTAGATGCTGTGTAGCTGCATCCAGCCTGTGTTTACTAACGTAAATCACCCGGAAGTGACACAACACCGGGAAGTGACACAAGCCGGAATTGGCCGAAGTAAGACACACAGGTATTGATTACCCCGCAATTTTAGAAGTGTAGACAATCCTCATCCAAAGCAACAATGCCTACCCAACGAAGTCGGAATCCTGAGTATGAAGAACGTTTGCAAATGGCTATTCGGGCTATCAGGAATGGTGAAGAGACAAATGTCACATCGGCAAGTGAGGCATTTGAGGTCGATAGGCGAACATTATACCAG